AAATTATGCTTTGATGAAGTTTGGTGCATTTTATATTGCATACTATTAATTCTTGTGCATATTCTGCCATAATGTATGAGACGTATGCAATAACAAATTGAGATAATGCAAAACTCGATTCTTCGGTGGACGATTTATGAACGTGTCTATTGAATTCTGGGAAGATTATTTTCATAGACACTTGAATTGAATTATTGAATCGGTGCCAACAGTTTAATTTTCATTCATGAAAATCTGATTATGCTTAAATAATTGAATGTGTAAAAACGGCTTCTATGTGCATTACATATGCTTGACATTCAGGAAATTATGCAAATTATATCTGGGTTGTGCACTCATATCAATTGAATATATTATATAATTGTATGTGCCGAAATTACAAAGCATATGTTGGTAGTTTCATTTGCCGAATTTGTTGATGGCAATTTTTAAACCAAAAGGATTTATCTACATTTAAAACTTTTGACACCTTTTAATACAATGAGTATTTTGTGTCATAAATTGCCTGAAGAATTTTGATTGGAAAGAAAAAATGTGAAGCGGTGCATACATTAAATTCCAATAGAATGTATTCCGTTTCTTGCATGTGCGTGCATTCGAAACGTCCCCAAACTTTGATGATTGGCAGTTTAATTTTGGCACCTTTTTAATTCACATAATAATGTTTGGGGATGAAGGTTCTATGATAATAAGGTTGGTATAATCTCATCAATGATTTAAAATTAATGAAGAATTGCGTTGAGGCAGTTTCTCAAAATCTAAGATAGTATGAACCTATCGAAAAATTGTCTGACACTTTCTTTTGGTTTGATATGCCGCCTACTGTACATTAAAATTCATAATCAGTCTAGAATAAATTTGAAAAGTGCATTAATTAAATGGTATCTCTGAAATCTGATTTCTTGGGACATAATTGATTGCATATATCCAGAAATTGTGCACCTTATCATGGAAATTATGAAATCTGGAAAAGGGCATGAATTCTTTATCTTCATGTCATTTGGTGTAAAACAAATTATTCATTTCTGAAATGGTGCGATCCATTCAAAATTGTATGGCATGACTTTATTTGTCTTGGTGTATGAAATCGCATGCGATTATCTGTCTTCAACTATGATTCTGTGAACAGGCATGTTTATGTATGTAAGCTTTGTGATTTTAAACATACTGGTTCATTGTTGTACCTTTTGACATGTTCACAAATTGGAGTATACATATGTTTATTTTATACAAAGTGCATATGTATAAATAAAATTGCATGTTGGTTGAAGAATATTTGAAATAAATTATTCATACATGTTCACGTGAGGATGCCCATTCTCTATTAGAAAATTGAAAATGACATGATAAATTTGTTTGATTGATTTCATGTCTCGTTAAACTCATATTAAGCATAAAGTATGAAAATTGTGACTTATTCTAGTAGAAAGTGCTTGTGAAATTATTGAGACATGGAAACATCTTATAGAGTACATTTTATGTTTTTTCATATGATTGTGACAAAATTGTGTTTTGTCTAAATGTGAATAAGATGAACATATACTTTATGGTTTGACATGATATAATATTATCTTATGTCACAAAAAGCAAAAAGCAATGATTCGCTTATGTTTGGAAAAGTAATAACTCTTGGGAATCAAGATGATTAGTCTTATTCATTGATGAATTTGACTTCAATCATAAAACCAAATTGAGTTGGTTTATGCTTGAAAAGCATGGTAGGTCTATGAGATGACCTTGATCAAATTGTGTGATCAAAATTAAGTAGTGAATTGAAGCACAACTTTGTTGGTCTATGTGACAACCGTGATTTAAATAATCACAACTTCAAATGAAAATTGAGTTTTCATTTGTGTGAATTGGCGATCACTATTTGAAAGTACTTAGACTTTCTCGAAGTGCTCGATATGGATATCATCTAAATAATAAATGGATTGAACTATGAAAGAGTTAATAACTCTAAGTTCAAGTGTAACCCAAAAATGTGGGGGTTATCATAAATGCTTGAGAACTTATACGAAAGGTTCAAAACGTACGTACATTCCTAATTTAGGAATAGTGGGGATAACTTAAAGTTACACTTTTCTGTACTTCTCAAGAAAATGGAAAAGACTCCATATTAGTTGTGGAAAAGTCATCATTCATCCTATCAACATGTAAAAGTGTGGGGATGTTTGGCAAAGGTCGAAGTTCCTAACAAATAAAGATTGGTCCCAAAGTGATTGATTGCATATTTATTGGATACACCAATAAATAGTAATGCATATCATTTTCTGTACACAAATTGGATGTACATGAGGGTACCATAGTGGAATAAAGAAGTATAATATTCTTTAGAATTATTCCTTGCAAAGACAAAGGAAATGTAAGTTCAAATAAGAGAACTTATGAAGCTACAAATGGATCTTCAAATTAAAAAGAACCAAGGCGTAGTAAGAGGGTTAGAAAGAAGGACTTGACTTCTTTGATATCCACTCATCCATAACTAGAGTTACTTTGATAAGGTTACTAATTGCAACTGCGGCAATCTATATATAACCTTGAGATTCATCAAATGGATGTGAGAACGGTACTCCTAAATGGGAGATATACATGGAGCAACCTGGAGGATTCGTTTCTCCAAAGTGAAAGCCATAAAACTTGTAAACGGATTCAAAATGAACTAATGTGACAAGTGTGTATACGTGAATACACCAAATGCCTATGTAATTGTATATTAGGCAAAAGCCACGAAGTGTTGGTAAACATCAAGAAAATGCTAACGAAGCATTTCGATATGAGAGGCATGGGTGTGGCAGAAGTAATACTAGGGATAAAGATCTCTAGGAATTGTACTTTCCCAATATCATTATGATAGAGAAAATACTTAAGTATTTGCGGGAAATAATTCAAGACACATATTAATACAAGTATACACTTGGTTAAAATAAGAGTGGAAACGTGTCACAACTAAGGTATTCACAAATGATTGGCAGTCTAATATATATTACGAACTGCACTCGACCATATATTACTTT